GGGGGAGGGGGAGGGGGGAAGAGGAGGAGGAGGAGGGGAGGGGGAGGCGGAGGTGGAAGGGCGGAATCAATGAACGTTTTGAAACTTGTCCCAAATCTGTGTTCTATTTCAACGTCTGACGTGACGAAGTTGCAAATTATGTAGTACTTTCTAAAAATAAGAAGTAGAACCATTTACAGAAAAAAAACCCATTAATAGTGGATCAACTGAACATGTTGCACGTACTGCAACTGTGAAGGACTGAGGGGAAAAAACAGCTTACAAACAACATCCTTCTCCCCCCCCCCCTCCCTGCATCCTCCTCCAAACTACCTACCCTCATCTTCATCCTCCTCCCCCTCCTTGTCTTTCCTTCTCTTTCTCCCTTCCTCCACAGAACTTACCCAATAGGCTTTTAGCAAATTATACAACGGGTTTGGGAGTAAGCTATCGTGAAATTGATTGTAAAAAAAAAAAAAAAGATTAAGTGAGTTAAAGATCGCTGGGCTTTCTTGGTGTGGAATGTACAACAAATTCTTTGACTTGTTTATAATATGCACCATCTGTACCCTAGATTCTCGCCAGACAACGGCCTTAGTCCCCTCCAGCCTCTTTTGAGTTCTATCTTATCGTAAATCAAAAAGTAAATATATTCATTCTTTTGTGCGTTTCCTTCCAGTTCGCTGACCCGGAGCGAACACTATAAAGGGGGGCTCTCGTGGCCTAGAGGTTAATGTGTTGGCCTCTCATTCAAATGTACCGGGTTCGAATCCGGGAAGCGACCGAAAAATTTTCTTCTCTAAAATTGTCTCCTTTCACCTCCTTTCCTGCAATATTTTGTCGTCTGTTTCGTCTCCTCTTTCTGCCCCCACCCCCTCACCTCCTTTGCCCCCTTCTCTAGGCTCCTGACTCTTTTTGCAGCCTTTCTACTGCTACTCCTTCGCTTCTTCTTACAGCTGTCTTTCTGCCACACCCCTGATCTTCTGGTAGGAAAGATCTACACCTAGCCTTCTCGGACAAGGGCGAAACATCTCGGAATGCCCGTACACAAGTTGCGCACGTTAAAGATCCCTTGGTGGTCTAAAATCGATAAGAGTAGGCTTCGGCCGCCACTCGGGCAAAATTCAAAATTTCCTACCAACAAAAAGCATTAGGTGTATCCCGCACGCTCATATTATGACCTTATGCAGTTGCGAGCGCCGTAAAACCCTTACCAAAAATAAGAACAAAAAAAGAACACGATAATAACTCTCAGCTTTCGTACTAAACACAAATGTGTCACGACGTGGGGGAATCAGGCGCTCGTCAATTTTTTGGCATTTGGAGTTATTGGTATCATCTCAAAGCCTGTTTAGTTGTCTTGCTATGGGTTGAAAAAAACAAAACTTTTTAAATCCAAATTTTTGGCTCAGAACATCTGAACCCGTTGGCTGACGAAATTTTAAATATGTGTCACGACGTGGTGGAATCAGGCGCTCGTCAATTTTTGGGCATCTGAAGTTATTGGTATCATCTGGGTGAGAAAAAACACCCATCTAGATCTTTGCTGAATAGAAGTGGAGATGTTTGGGATTGAAGAAGGTGGGGTCACCTGGTTTCAAATGTAGAATTAGCGAGACAATGGCCGCCAAAGTTTGGTTATTTCTATAGCTTGATAGTCCATGGAAACCGAAAACTTACATTTTTGTGCCTTTAATTAACGTTTTTCAGTAAAATCCACCTATGAAATGTTCTTAAGTCGAAAAAAATGGTGATAAGCGAAAAAAAAAAAAGATAAAAATTGCCAAACGCAGAAAAATGCTATTTTCTTTAATTTCATTATTTTGACGAGCGCCTGATTTCACCAAGCTGCCTCACATACTGTTATGCTGCGTGTTGCAAGCATAGTCCCGGAGGTCTGACCGACGCACTAAAGACGTTACTTTTCGATAGTGCCGAGGCAATCAAAATCGTGGGAGGTCGGGATTTGGAATTTGGTCCCAAGTGAGCGCGCCTGTTTTAAACTCCTTCTTGAGCCCACGTCTGTATAGAGCTATTAAACTATCCCCCCCCCTCTCTCTCTCTCTCTCTCTCTCTCTCTCTCTCTCTCTCTCTCTCTGGTTCATTATCGTTGTCAGAGTGAGATGGATGCTATGGCT